TCTTATATCTGCTGCCAGGGATTCAATTGAAAGAATGTATAATATCGGTGATAATGGGAAGCCCTGGCGAGTGCCATTCTTGATCCAAATCCAAATCAATTGGATTTTATAACAGGACCCACAATTCTACCTTGTGGACCTCTGTATAGTGCCATAATAGCTCCAAGTATCCCTCCCAAGAATCCAAAAGATGTCAAGGATTCCTTCAAAAAAGCCCAGTTGACCCTGTCAGAGGCCTTCTCTGCATCCAATGACAGGGTCAACATAAGTATGCACTAATCTCTAGCCTGTTCGAATATCCCAATCATATTTCTTGCATGGTTATTCGAAAGTCATCTCGGGATAAACCCCACTTGTCTTTATGTATCAGATGGCTGATAACCTTCTTCATTCTATCAGCCAGTATTCCTGCATAAAGCTTAGTATCTTCATTTAATAGAGAAATCGGGTTTTATAGTCCCTGTAAACCCCTGTAAACCCATCTGGCCCTGGTGCTTTGTTAGGTTTCAGTAATTCTATCTGTGTATATATTTCTTGTAGAGTAATTGGAGCATTTAGTTAATTTAATTGTTTCTTCGAGATCTTCGGAAGGTTCTTATTTCTAAAGAAGTCCATAGGGTCCATTTGGTTTTAAGGCAATTATATAACTGATAATATTAATCATCAAAAACCATGTCAATCTTCTCAGGCGATAGACATGTCTCATCTTTATATATAATTTTAGGGAAAAAAATGTTGCTTGATATTTTCTTAAGTTTATTGGACAACAATATGTCTCCCCTATTTCCTCAGTAGTAGAATGTTGCTTTTAGTCTTTCAAGTGTTTTGCTTGCTTTATTTATTAAGAGATGATTAATCTTATTTTGTAAGATGATAATTCTATTTGACAACGCCTCAGAAGGAGATATCTTGTTAATTTGTATTTGTAATTCGGTTAGGTCTTTTTCCCCATGTTCTTTAAAAGCAAGTTTACAGCTTTATATGCGCACCACGCAACTGAAGGGGAGGTCTCTTCGTTCTGATTTTCTTTAAAATAATATTAAGTCTGTTTTTTAATAAATTCTGTATTGTCTGAGAGAATATAATTATTTAATCTCCATTCTGGTCTCGGAATTTCAAAAGAATCTCTAACCTCTATGATAACTGCGTTGTGGTCTGATCTCATTTATTTTTATCGTTTTTGTTTGATGAGTTAATTTAATATCACCCAAAATAAAATCAATACGAGAATATGCATAAGATTTGGAAAAACAAGTAAAATCTAAATCCATTGGATGAAAAATGTGCCAGATATCTAATAAGGTATAATTTTGAATTAACTGTCTAAATTTGTCAGAGCGTCTTAGTATTCTTTTGTCTCTTATCTATCTTTTTTTATCCAATAATGGATCGAATATAGAATTAAAGTCACCAAGAATCATCACAATTCCTTTTTTTAACCATTTCTATTCTCTTTAGACCCTTACTTATAAATGGTAATGATGAGTGATTTGGGGCATAGAGGTTTGTTAATTAAATGTAATATTATCAATCTCACATACTACTATAATGTATCTCCCTTCTGTATCTTGTTCTGTGTAGATATTTCTGCAATTTAAATTCTTAGATATCAATATAGCAACCCCACGTTTTTTTTTTGTTTAAGGGATGCGGACAGAATCGTTGTGTACATTTTAGATTTTAGGTTAATATTATCTATCTTTCTCCAATGAGTTTTCTGTACCCCACAAATATCAATTCTCTGTTTACTTAAATAATCTAAGAAGATTGATCTCTTAAACGGAGAGTTAAGTCTTTGAGCATTAATTGTTGCAATTCTAACCATAGTCCCTATGTATTATTTTCTTTCAATCCCTGGGTCCCCATGCCTCGAGTCTGAACACCAAAATTCCAATTACACCACAGACCAAACAACAAAAAAACATATGCATGCATTTAACCGTTTAGCCCATCATGTCATGTCTCTCTCCCAACACGTGCCCCCCACCCCTAAGAGAAAAGACACCCCAACCAGCAATGCTTAAGACCCTCTTTGCATTTAGTAAAATAGAAGGTGCTGGTTGGAGTCAAGGGGCTAGTACCCAGACTTGGCAGCAGGGCCATAATCCATGAGTACGTGTCTGGTAAAGGAGAAAACCCGCGGGCCTGTAGAACCTAAACCTAACCTTCTATAAACAGCAACAAATTGTCAACACCACAGAGTGTCCCACATCTGCCACAGCTGAATGAGCATGAAAAGATAGCCATTGACTCAAGCCATGTGTCGCAAAGGGTCACGTCCCATCACCACCTCTGTCGAGAACCAAGCCATGTACTCCAGGGTTGCCCTAATCTTAGATTGAAAGGAGTTGTTCAAGGTGGGAATGTAAAATTTCCACTTTTGGAAGCATTTGTTAACTAAGATTTCTTTGTTGGTCAAAGTGTTCAACCAATCCATTTTAAAGAGAAAATTGCGTTTGGTTAAGAAGAGATGCAAAGAAGGTGCATGTGGCAAAAGTAACCTCGCCACTGGTTTTTGGAGGGGCCTGTTTGCCAGTCTCCTGCCCTGCGACTATGGCCCTGGGATGTATTGCCCTTCTAGGAACTGATGTGGGCATACTTGATTTTATTATGCTGCTGCTGGCCCTTTAAGAACCATCGGGGGACATACTGTGGAGTTACTGGGTGGCCACCATTTCATGTATCAGAGACACATGGTGAGAACAATGGATGACAGCCATTTTAACTCACAGACACTGTTTGGACTTTTCTACACAGTGCCATCTCGCCGGTATTTGGTGCACAAAGACATCGTGCAGTAGTTTTAAACTATACAACAGGGGACACATTATACAGTAATTATTTTTCATATAGCCTGTATATGTTCTGCAGAATCTGCATTAAATTGTATCTTCCAAACTACTGAACGGATCTGGGTGAATTTTTATGGGGTTATTGCATGTTTTGGGGTCCCTGTGATATGTTTTATAATACTGTATTTCTCTGCCTGTGATAATTATATTAACCATTGTGTTCAGTAATCATATCACAGGCAGTATGGGAGTGTGTGTGTGTATTGTACGGATTGATTGGTTGCATTTCAAAACCCTTGTGCAACTGTGATTATTGCTTCCCTAATCTTACGCCAGAAATATGTTAATTTGGGACAATCCCATGAGACATGTTTGTTTAAGTGTGTCACTTCCCTAGTTGCATCTCCAGCATATCGGGGAGGCAGCGGTATAAAACTTGGCTAATTGGAGGGGCTTTCTTTCTTTTTTTGCTTCTTTCATCTTCCTCTCTTTCCCTCACCTCCTCCAAGCATCCATCTGATTTTTTTATGATTTGCAGCACACCGCGTCCCACTTCGCTCATGTGGTGAGGGCCGCAACGTCATCTTGGTGCACCCAACTGGTGCCCTGTATTTTTAAAAATAATGCTCGTTTTAGTACCAAAATACTTCCCCCTGCTTCCTCACACTGCACACCACCCACAATATCATAATGTACCACATTTAACATCGCTCTTACGGATGTATATCGGTTTTGTGGATCCCTATTTTGTATTTTTTCCTTCAATTCTTTTACATTTTTAGTTTTGCTTTTTTTTTTTTATATTTCCTTGTTACTATTACATTTAATTATTATAGTGTATTCTATTTCTTAACCTTTTACAATTTTTTATGTTTCCACAAGTTAATTAAATTTACACGTTACATGACTTTGACATCACCCAACCGTTTATTTTAAACAGTATGCGATATAAAACAGAGTGGTCCATATCTCTCTAAACACTTTGAAAAAGCATACTGCCAGGCAAAACGCGTGTATTTTATTTGTATGTTTTATTTCTAATAAAAGTTGTATACTTAGAAGATTTTATCCAGAGGACACTCTCTTCTAACTCCTTGGTGAGGAACATACCACCTATGCCAGAAGGATTGAGCAAAGCCGATCTTTGCTCCTTCTTTATCATCTGTTATCAGAGTACACTATATTTTGTTTTACTCTCCACATATTACATATCAGTGATCTGCTGCTACCGCACTTACAAGTAAGAACTTCCCCCAACATCATTGGGACCACATCACACACCGCTGCTGGCTACCAGTTCATGATCTGACAAAACCAAGATAACGTGTATATCCATAGGCTATCATTGGAGCTATTTAGAAGCTCCAGAAAATTGTAAGTGCTTTTCTTTATTCTTCCATCAACTACAAAGGCATACTATACCATTGTGGGCCTCTTGTTTCTTTCATCTTGCATATTGATTTGAGCCTGGGGACCACACCAAGGTGTTGCTACCATCCCACCACTCTGTTTGTTATCCACCACCAGTAGAAAGAGACTCTGTTTCGGGTTTTTCAAGCTGCCTACCTACCTTTGTACAAGCGCTAAAAATCAAATCTGCTATTTATTAGGTTTTTACATAATGTTTTATACAATTAATCTGTTATCTCTATCTGTTTTTCCCTACTCGAATATGGCGTCTGCAGCATTTCTAGTAATGTGTGAACTTCTGTGTAATGGGAAGAGACAAATCAGCAATGGCAGCTAAAGGTGTGCTGTTTGTAATATGAAATCAGACAGAAAATATTGTTAAGAGGATTTACAAGAAACTCAAAACAAGGAGTTATACAGCTGTGCAAAAAATTCTCTAGGGCGAAAAAACTGTTGTGCCAATATTGTGGATATCTATTAGTTAGGACTGAGAATCCCTATTGCTTTATTTCTATAAGATATCCTTGTTCACTTGTAAATAATTTTTAGTTTTTATTAATTAAATATTTCAACCTCGATTACTATCCACACATTAAAGGTTTCTCTTATCAATTCCTGTGTGTCACGGTTAGGGCCGCCATCAGGGGGTGACAACCATGACGGTTGTCAACGGAAGTCCTGGGGGCCCCCAGCAGCATTTGTCACACATCCACCACTCACATACATAATTAAACAGACAAAATGCATCCACTACACAACCACACACATCATCCACCACATAAACACACAAACTGCATCCACTACACAACCACACACATCATCCACCACATAAACACACAAACTGCATCCACTACACAACCATACACATCATCCACGACACAAATACAGCATCCACTACACACACACACACACACACAGCATCCACTACACAAACACACATCATCCACTACACAAACACACATCATCCACTACACAAGCACAGCATGCACTACACAATACATCCACTAAACAAGCACACATTATCCACTACACAAGCACAGCATTCACTACACACTACATCAACTACACAAACACACTCTGCATTTACTATACACACGATTCATCCACTCTACACACACTCTTTCCACTACACAAACATACAATCCATTATAAACACCTTATCCACTTTACTCATGCACTTTGCATCCACTACACACATTCTACAGCCACTATACACACACAACCAAATTCAGTACAACACACTTCATCCTTGTGGGTGGACTCAAGATGGGTCCTGTGGGTGGATTTGGGAGGGTGGGGGGTGGGAATCATGTGGGCGGGCTCGGGGGAAGGTCATGTGGGTTGACTTGGGGGCGGGCCATGAGCTGCATGAAGGGCCCCATCATTTCTGGTGGCAGCCCTGGTCACAGTACCTGTTAGGATGCTCCTGTCTGTGCATCAGTCTGCTACGTATTCCAAAGAGTTGCCACATTCCAGCATAATTTTTAACACAAGTCCCTCCAAACATTCCTTTTTTCCCCCAATTTTTTATTAAGACATACTCAGATATACAAGCCAAAGAGAGTTTGCATACATCAGTACGATAGGTCGGTACACAGTGCGCAAAACATTTAAATATTCTATACACGTATCACAATCTATAACATGTATCATAAAAAAGAAACAATATGTATAAGTGATCACTAAAATACCCTGATTATAAAAAAAATCAGTGATCCACACAGGTGTAGCAAAATATGGTAATTAGCTAATAAAACCTATAAATGTCACAGTTCTCACCGTGACATCCAGCTGTGGTCATCCCAGAAGTGCCCAACAGGGGATTTGAACTGTGGCCCTCATGTGTCTTGACCCTGCGGTTTTAACTCTGAACTACACTTCTGTTCATGTGTCACCCTAATGTTAAACTTTGTCTTGTTTCCAGCACTAGAGGGCTGGACTTCACCAGTGTCTCCTACCGGTCTATCAAAGTCCACCTGAGGCAGATTGATCATTACTCCAGGTATAAAACACTGCCTCTCCCTGAGGGCATTGTCAGTTTGTTTTATCCGATTTCTTGTATCCTGTGACTGACTTGGCTTATGACCCTTTCTTCTTGGATTATCCATTATTGCCTGTTGGCTGCCTGCCTTGACTTTTGGATGTCTGACTACTCTTCTGGATTTGCCCTTGTTTGTACTGCGTATTGGAAACACCTTTCATGCACAGATTCACAGTCCTGGTGGTTTCTAAACTTATCACCTTGGGCTGTGTATATCTGAAACTGCTATGTTTTCAGTTGCAGGGTTAAAACTAGGGGGACCTGGTACCCAGACCACTTCATTGAGCTGAAGTGGTCTGGGGGCCTATAGTCGTCCTTTAAGTCCTCCTCAAATCTCCCTGTTTTATTTCAAAGCGAGCAATTTACTCTCTGAATTTGGCAGTTCCATATGGCTTAATTCACTATTGCTGTGAATAATGTGACGTAGCTTCTGCGTGTTAACAATTTTTGTGATCTTAATTGGGGGTAGATGTGATGGACCGCCTGCCACCCCGACCAGGTACCTCCATCAATCGCTGCTTCCTAGTACTTGCGAGCACCATAAGCACTGCACTGGAGCACCATAACCACCGTAAACCCAATGAACCACCGCAGCTTGGTTGGGGTCTCATCATCCTCCACCCACCCTGGAACCAAGACCAGGATCCAGCTTCCAGTGGGTAGATGTCTCCTAGTCCAGAGAGCTAGTGATTATACTCAGGGGAGTATTGTGATTATAGCAATCTCCAGTGTGTTAATATAGTTCTCCAATCCCCTCAAACATGAGCCAAGACTTCATGAAGGGCTAAACAAATCTAATGGCCTTTTATGACCATCCCCATGCAAGGGGTACACCCACATGGACCTTGTTGGGGTCTCCAACACATAGGAACTCACCAATAACAAACATACAATCCTTCCTCCCTGCTTAGGAGATAATTGGATCAGTAACTGTACTAATTCTAATACAATTATCTCCAAGATTACCGAGATTCAGGGGGACTAAGCCGCAAATGCCCTGGAACTATATTTTCGGCATGAAGACTTCGCAGTTCCCGCTCGGTCGCCAGAGGCACTTAGCCGTGATTCTATGGAACCGTTTTGGGCGGGGGGTTTTATGTGTTTTAAGGTATTTTTGGGGTTTTGTAAAAATGTGTTTTTTGTGGTTGGGGATAATTATCTCCTAAGTAAAGGGGAAGGCTTATTGAGTTGTATATGGGAGTGTCATGCATTGTAACACTGTTATTATTGGTTTGTAACGGAGTTCCCCACAAGGTCCATGTGGGAGTGCCCCTTGCATGGGGATTGTCATAAAAAGTCAAGTGTGGCACCATTAAAATCAGTTCCTCTTCACCCTCAACCTAAAGCCTTGTCTCATGTGTGGAGGGGACGGCTATATTCACTCTGGGGATTGCTATATCACAATACTTCCCTGGGTATAATCACTAGCTCTTATCAGAGTTGTTCCTGCTATAGTCTCTGGAGTAAGAGAGGTTCACTCACTGGAAGCTGGATCCTGGTCTTGGGTCTGGGGTGGGTGGAGGATGTCAAGATCCCCAACCAAGCTGCAGCTGTTTGTGGGAGTCTACAGTGCTGATGGTGTCTGGTGGAGTGCTTGGAGTCCTCGGTGAGAACTAGGAGCATCGATTGGAGGAGGCACTTGGTCAGGGTGCCAGGCGATCCATCACAACTGAGTAGTAGGAGGTCTTGGGAACTCCTTGATATGGTTTTTATTTATCCGGATGCAATTCAGTACAATAATGGTTTGAATTCCTGTTGTTTACATAGAATTAAAATTTTTTGCACTTTTAGGGTTACACTCTTCATGCACTTTACAAAAGAAAACGGCCCAAGTGCAATTTTTAGAAGGTAGTTTAATGTTTTGGCTCACACCGGAGCCTTTCTCAAGTACTTGAGCCAAAATGTTGCTTGAGTCTCAAAAAAAACCTGACTTGTAAGGTGCCTGGCTGTCACTTATATAGCTGTGTGGAGTCTGGCTATTCATGTTCGTGTGGCAACTGTGTCCATTTCTGATTTGTGAGGTCTCTCCTGTTTATAAATGCAATTTCTGACAACAACTTTGGAAACGTTTCCTAAATATTCTAAAATTTGGACCTCCATTTCGACAGTACTGAAGGTCACACTTAAAGTAGGCAATCTAATATATGATTGTCCTAGAAAATATTTCTTACCTCTTCTCTCATTACCGGTGTGTGTTCTTGGGTTCCCTTTAGGTTTATGCATTATCCTGCTTTTGTTTCAGGATAATGCACGTAATGTGCCCTTGTTTTAATCCTATTGTTTCCTACAAAACAGAACGAGTGATTAAATAAATTGTACAAAAAAATAAAACTTTAGAGACATTTATGCCACAGTTCATCTCATCATTAAAACTAGTTTTAGCAAAGTTATTTTAGTTAATATAAAGTAAATTAAAAGTAGATTAAAACTATAGGCCAAAATAGCCAAATTGAAAAAATCCAATTAGTTATGTTTTCAGCTCAGATATTTTGTTCTAAAATGTCACATTCACTTTGAATTCATAACAATTCACACCTTAATGAATAGCCCTGAGGAGGTAGAGAGTCTCAAGGCATCAAGCTGCATTATTATTGAAGCTTTTTACAACTGGTTAGACAAGTGCATGAACTGAAGCCAGATCATTCAGTCAAATATTTTGCTTTGTACGCATATCAATAGGCACACACATAGGTGTTAAATGTGTGCGTGATTGCAGTTTATGTACACAATGCATATCTCCGAACATTGGTAAGGTATGAAATTGGAAGAGACGATGAAGGCGAAGGGAGGGGGCAGGCCTGCTTGGAAAGGGGTTAGGTGCACACAAGGCTTGCTGACAGCTACACTTATAGCTGGGCATGAACCTAGCATTATTTCTCCAGACAAATCAGGGTTTAGAACGTTTACTACATGAATGTGTGGTGTAATTCCAATCATGGTTTGTTCCAGGTGGAAAACAAAATGGAGCCAGACCATTTACTGCAAACAAAGGTTAATCATTTAAGGGCTGATCTGTTTAATATTGCAATATAACTTGTCCAAAGTGAAACCAAAAACCAGTATAGGAGAGTGGACTCTTAGCATTGTGCAAAGACAGATCCACCTCAAAGGCGTTATTTTCCCACAATACATGATCCAACCAGGGCCGATCCAAGACATTGTGATTCCTGGGTCCAAGGATGATGCCTTGCACCAAAAGCATGCCAACATTCATTATGTTGTGTAGTGACTACAATGTCTGTTTGTGTAGTAGATGCAGTGTGTATATCATATTCAGTGTGTAGTGAATGCAGTGTGTGTTGTGGAAGCTGCGACTGTGTCGTGGATGCTGTGTCTGTTATTGTGTCATGGATATAGTGTGTATTGTTTGCAATGTGTGTATTGAATACACAGTGAGGCAGTGTGTGTAGTGGATGTAGTGTCTGTGTACGTACTAGTGTGTGTGTGTGTGGAGTTGGATAAATGCTGGTGGGTGAGAGCAGTTTAAATTAAATTGGCCTCTTACCTGTGGGCTAGAATGGCGGGACAATGTGGGGGCAGAATGTGGGGCGACAGTGTCATGGTTACAGTGGGGCCAGGGTTTGAAGGTGACTGTCGCGGTGACAGTGGGGGGGCAGGGGTGTGAGGGTTGACAGTGTGTGAGGGGACAGTGGGGGGGCAGGGGTGAGGGTGACAGTGTCATGGCAGTAGGGGCAGGGTTTGAAGGTGACAGTGGGGGGGGCAGGGTGTGAGGGTTGACAGTGTGAGGGTGACAGTGGGGGGCAGGGTGTGAGGGTGACAGTGTCGGGGGCAGTGGCATACACACGATGGAGCCGCAACACATGGCGGCGGGCACCTGGTCACAGGGCTGCGACCCCTGCAACCGCGGTATGTAAGCCAGTGCCTGCAGATACATATACACTTAAAGGACCACTATCGGCACTCAGATCACTTCAGCTCAATTAAGTGGTCTGGGTGCCAGGTCCCTATAGTTTTAATCCTGCAGCT